ACCAGTGGGATGCACTCAGGACATTTTGCTAAACCTGAAATGGGGGAGATGTCGCCTGACATCTCAGCCTTTGGAGCTGAGACGTGGGCATGAAAAGTATTAGCAAAACTCAAGTTGGCTTAAGGAACATTAAGAGTTACTGCTCCATCCAGTTGGGTGCTTGGATTTAACAAGCTGTTTTTGTCCGGAGAGTCTGAGTTCAGGTTAAACAGACTGATTGTCAGAATAATTACTGCAGAGTTGGCTTCATCTTAAGCCTTCCTACGGGTTTCCTCCAGGTGTTCTAGTGAGAGAGGCTTATGTTATTAACACAAAGATGGGTGGCTGCTGATTAAGCCCAGAGGGGCCTAGAGAGCTGGGAGAAAGCCAAACTGGCTTCTTATGCTCCATCTTTGCATCAACTTTCAAGCTGTTAGAGTGGTAATGACTGTGGAAGGGGGATGGTTGTGCTGGAGAGAGAGGTTGGACAAACCCCAGATTGGTTCTCAGATCCCAGGGGACAGCCAATGGCAATAGACTTCAACCCCAGACTGGAAATGAAATGAGCAGAGATCTGGAAGCGATCCAGAGGAACTGGCTCTAGAATCCCACAGCAGCAGGTTTAGAAGCACCATTGGAACCACCTTCTCTGCCATCTCAGGTTCCTAGGGAAACTCTGTAATTTTAGTCAGTAGATAAAAGTGTCAGTCATAGGACAAGGTTTGACCAATGATTTAATCAACAGTGACACACTCAGAGCTCAGGAGAGAGCAGGAAAATACAGGGTTGTTTAGATTTCCCTTTAATGAATTTCTAGCCTCATGTCCACTGAGAGGAATATGGAAATACTGAAATTTGAATGTAGATGGATTGGGTTGGGTTTTTACCACCATCTGATGAGGTATACAGGCAATGGTCTTTGATGAATAAAAGGCAAAGCTCAGTATCACCATTCAATTCTCCTCCTAGTTCTCTGGTTGATGTGTGAATTTAGACAAAGCACAATTTCTCTGACTCAGTTGAAATAGGGCAACACCACACGTGACCAGTCCTCCAAAAACATCACGAAGATTTGTGAAAACTGCCAATGAAGGGCTTTGTGCATCTTCGGAGGAAACTACTGGCAAAGACCTTATCTAAACAGAGTCCTTCACTTGTGTTCAAAACCTTACTTTGAAAGTAAATAGTTTGGCACTTATTATTCAAGGGTCTGGGACCAGGGCTCCCTGAGGCCTGAGGATGGGGGCCGGGGAAAGGCAAGGGTCTGAGATGGGGACTAGGGATCCCCACAGGGGTCAGAAAAAGGTCTGGGGGATTAGCAGAGCCAGAATACGTTCCCTCTCTGCTAGGTCAGGGCTCCTCAGCGGAACTTTCCTTTGCTTCTGCTGACGTCTGGTTTTGGGGAGAGGGAAATTGCTGCAAAGATTGGGAGAAAGAGCAAAGGGACTTGGTCCTGGTGGGAATGAGATTTTCTTTAGCTAAGAAAGGGTTTTATTTCCATTTCTCCTTCCATATCACACCTTCCCCAGTCTTCCTTCTATTCTCAAATACATGTTAAGACCTCTTCCTTACCACTCACTAGTCATACACCTCCGTGACTGGGTACATTTTTATTTTTTAGTTAATTAATTAATTCGGTTGCTCCACGTCTCAGTTGCAGCAGGCGTGCTCCTGAGCTGTGGCTCGCGGGCTCCCCAGCTGCAGCATGTGTGCTCCTCGGCTGCAGCCAGCAGGCTCCTTAGTTGCAGCTCGCAGGCCTTAGTTGTGGCTCACCAGCTCCTTAGTTGTGGCACGCAAACTCCCAGGCGGGGCATGCGTGTGGGATCCAGCTCCCCAACCAGAGATCGAACCCCGGCCCCCCCGCACTGGAAGCATGGAGCCCCAGCCAACTGCACCACCAGGGAAGTCCCTGTGATGGCGTACTTTAACAGGACGAGAAGTAGGATACTGGAGTCGGGTTGAGGGATGAGCAATAATGGGGGACCAGGCTGCAACAGGGGAGATCAGGTGATCTCCTGATGAGATCTTCCTGATGAGAAGAGGAGGTAGAAGCAAGAGAGTGAATGAGTATCTGTGTAGCAGTCCAGTTAAGGGTACAAAGAGCACACTCCAGTTCATCATCCATCTCACCCTCTCACGGGCCCCTCTCATGGCGCTGCCTTGCCCACATCTGCTGCTGGTTAGGCAGCCATGCTTTCGGCCCCTCCTTCAGCCCACAGCGGACTGGCTGGCTAGTGACCAATGATGTTAACCGAGACAAAACAATAAGATGAGCCTATGCCAATCATATTCTGTCTTAGGAATTCTAACTAGGAAATACCAAGGAAAAAATCCAATGGGCTTGGAGTTGAAAGGCTGAGGTGGAGAGAGAGGAGCTCAAGAGACCAGGACGAGCCACATGCCAGCTCAAGTTTTGAATAAGCAGAACTATAGTATGTAGGGCATGTCTGCTGGGAGAGAGAGTTGCCTTGGACAGATATGCAGAGAGAAGCAGTGTCTCTAAGGAAACGAATCCCCAGGGTTGCCTTTGCTCCTCAAGGATCTCCAATTCCAGACCACCCGTATCCTTAACAACACCTGTCCCCTTTTACCTAAGGTAACTGAGATTTTTCTCAATGGAAAGACCCAACTGTAACAGTTTGCACAAGTTCTGTGTAGGTAAGTTAAAATCGAATTATTATCTGAAGACATTTTCTTTGGGGAAAATGAGTAGGCTGGTTCCCTTAGCAAACATGACCTACCACCACTGTTTATTTGGAAGCATCTTGTGTAATTGAGATTAGACTTTAGGCAGGAAATGGTGTGACCTAATTTTTCCCTTTGTTATTCTGATGTCAAGGCAGGTCAAGACTATGTTTCAGTCCTAAAGAAAGGAGATCTTGGCGTCTACAAAGAGCTAGTTTGGTCTAAGAAAGGTAAGTCCTTTCTAAGTTACTAAGATTCAGGTCTACAAATCTCTCTGAGGGAAGCTTTAAAACCATGAGTTTTTACCAAGTTAAAAGGAGCAGAGAGGTGTGGCAGCCATGTTGGTTCACCAGCGAGATCTCGTGAATCATTTCTCATCTCGGATTTCAGGGCTCAGGAGGGCTAAACTGGAAGGAAAACTGAGAGCAGCTCTTGTCAATACGAGACCTCATCCATTATGTCCACAGCCTCTTGGAAATGTCCCCCAGCAAGGCTGCCATCAGCACTTGACTGAAAACACATGGAAGCAGCCCACTCAGAGCAGGAATTCATTTTTGGAAGAATAATAAGGGAAAGTTTTTCTTTTTCTTCTCTTTCTGCTGCTGGGAAATCTGCTTTCTGGAAAAGTCGCAGGGATTAGAGGGAATTTGAATCATGTCCGGTAACAAGGGAGGGAATGGAAGCAGAAGGGCATGTTTCCAGAAGCCTTTTCACACAAAGCATGATGGTCCTGGGCAACTCAAAGTGAGCTGTTCTATCTTAGACGTATTATTGAAATCGGGCCATGGCTCCCTTTAACCCATTATCTTTTCCCAGAGTGAATAGTATCTGATAGCTTCAAGGGAAAAGTACCCAGAGTTAATTGGTTTTCCCTGGCTACTCCTCTTTTTCAAAAAGGTCACGTGTGGACTAAAATGGGCTGCAAAACGATTTGGTCTTCAACTCTCAACACTACCTTGTAAGTCTTTGATAGACGCCCAGTGATCCAAGGGAAAGGCACAAGGGGTGGACGTGAAGGAAGGAGACATTTGCCAGCTCCCTGGGTCTACAGTATGCAGCAGACATTACAAGTGTTTGCCAATCTACGGTTCTCCTTCCATTCCAAATACAGATGAGGTTCCCAACTCCAGGGACGACATGACTGCTTGGTCATGAGAGAGGTGATGTGTGTCGTTTCTTAGAGGAGGCCCTTAATTGCCAGTGCTCAACCTCCTTCTCATTCTTCCCCTCCTAATGGCAAGGGTGAAGTGCATGTTTATACTGAAACGAACTACTGAATCATCACATGGAGGACAGCCTCCCGGGAGGGTCTCTCAGACATGCACAGGCCTGGTTTTAAGTCACTGAGAGTTCATGGGCTTGTTTGTTTAAGCAGCAAAACCAAGTCTGTCCTGACTTATGCCCGCTATTCATTGGTCATCTCTCCTCCCAGCTCTGTTTGGAGTTCTGGAGCACCTGTGCTGCATCTGAACCCCACCCTCATTGAAATTCAGAGAAGTAGGCAATGTGCTTTCTCTCGCACTTAGGATATTCATCTGAGAAGCGTGATGGACTGCTCCCTTCATTTGAGTAAAAGCAGCCTCTGGTGAATTCTATAGTGGAACAAAGAAGGTCCTTTCATAGCTGTAGGACAAAAGTGATGGTGATGATATTAAAACCAAAGCTTGGGGAAAAAATGACCCTCCCAAGTGGTTCTAAGACCACGATTTTTAGGACAGAATCTGATACTTTGCACTTCCTCTTGCCTTCATTCCCCTCTCCTCCATTACCTAATCCTCATCACAACTCCGAAATTCTCACTTGGCAATCCTGGTCTTGCAGGACAAACTTCTACAGTCCCGTCTCCGAGCAGTAACTTTGCTCACAACATACAACTAAAAGTCACTGGGCACAGAGTTAGGCAATTCTGGGTTAACCCAGAAGTGTTCATTCCGTGGGCTGATAGGGACCACACACTTCTGAGTCTTCACCAGGACTGCCGCACATCAACAGAGCAGCTAGGATGCTAGTACAATTAGGGAGACAAAAGTTGGACTTTGCGTTATATGTGTATATGTACACACACACCAAGAAATTACTTCATCGCATCCAAGTTCAATAAAAGTGATTAACAACTCAAGATGCCTCCCTAGCGTTCCGTGGGTGGTACCAGTTTGGCAGATTTTCAGCTCATGAATGCCACCTGTGTCTTCTTCCATGTGACTATTCCCTGGGGGCACCTTTCCTATGCATGTCTCCTCATTTTTAATAATGGTGAAAAGAGAAGGAGACAGTGATGGAACCTCTACCATATTCTCTTCAGTCACTTCTCCCATTGGAAGATCCAACCACCAGTATTGCTCTGATGATTCTTTTATTTGGAAAATATTCACTGAATTTTCTATTGTGTGTACAGCATTGTGCTGAGTCCCTTAGTGAGGATGACTTGTAATAGATACGAACAGAAATACTACAGGGGTGAGTGGGGAGAGGAAGAAGCAAGATTACCTGGGTTCAAGTGCACATTCCATCACTTTCTAGCAAGAGACTGAACTTTTCTTGCCTCCTTCCTCAGCTGCAAAGAAGGAACGATGTGAAGTCCTACCTTGTGAAACTGCGGGGAGGATCAGATAAGCAGATGCACGTACAGCGTGTGTGAGACACACAGCAGCACTGAGTATTGGCACAATGCGAGGACAGTGCTTAGGTCCTGTCCTGGCAGCATGGTTCGTGGTGAAACACCTTGGAGTAGGAGAGCACAGGGACTGATTTGTCTGTCAGTCACTGGGGGTAGAGCACTGTCTTACTGTTTCCTGGGGTCCAAAAAAAAAAAAAAAAAAGGCCTCAAGTAGGAAGCCATTTAATCTTTGACATCTGGGACCAAGATATGTTTTCCTCGTACCTTTCTCAGACACTCCTGAGTGCCCACTTTAACGTGTGAACTGCTTAGCTTTTCTTTCTTGGCGGACAGTGAAAGTGCAGAGAGACTGAACTAATAGTTACAGAGAACAAAATATCTTTCTCAACTTTCGTAATAGTCCCTGGCTGTTTGAAAATAGCCAATTCATATTCAAGAATTCACAGGAAATGTACATTGAATCAGCTACAAAAACTCAGCTTGGTTTTCACAAATGTTCTATTGAAGACCACAAGCTCTCCAAAGGCACCTCACTCAGCGAGACGAATGACCACAGTCTGGAAACTCTGTATCCTCCACCTCTTCCAGGTCCATCAAAATCTTTCTCGCCCTCCAATGCCCAGCGCATTGTTTGCTCTCCAGGAATACCTTCCTTGATTCACTCCAGCTGGATAAAACGTCCCTCCTTTGGCCCTTGCAGCCTGTGGCTTGGGCGTGCATCTATAATGTTAACTTTATTTTCTTCTGCTTTACATTATACTTAGGAGTTCACGAGTCTTTTCCATTCCTTGTAATACACAGAGCCTATTTTTTGAGCTTTGCCTTAGCATTTGGTATGTAGTCAACAAACACTGAGTTGTTAAAGGATTTTGTCATCCAACCATTCTTCATCGATTGGGTACTTACTTTGTGCACAGCACTCTGTTGGGCATTGGTAGCAGACATGAGATGGGACAAGACTTGATTCTAGCATCCAAGGCATTTAAAAACCTCTGAAGGGGAGCAGATACAAAGTGATTCTACAGAGGGCAGCTTGAGCGTCACCAACGATTTGGGTAAAAGAGGTCCCAGTGCCAAAGGCTGGGAAGATCTGATGTCTGGCTTTGAAGGGGCTAAAGCCCACAGCCTTGAAGCTTTGGTTGGAAACCTCATGGAAGAAGGAGGGGGTAGGCTGGGTGTTCTGCTAGGAATGACTAAATTATCCTATGGGTCACCAGTTGATTTATTTGCTAATTGACTGGCCCAGCCTTGGGCTTTGGATCTAAAGAAATCATTTCATCCTTTATTAAATACTGCAGGAATCTCACTCTTTGTTCTGCAGGGCTCTACACAATGTACCAGTGAAACTTGAATTTACACCACAATAGGTGTACCACTAATGACCTTCCAAATGCCATTAATACCATACATGTCCCGCTTCTCAGTTGGATCCGAACCTGTCAGTGAATTCTGAGCCCATCGACCTCCCTCTGACAAAAGAGCAGACCCTCATGCCCATGCCCGCCCCCAGCCTCCCCCATCTTTCCATGGTTTCACTTCTCAATCAGTTACTCTTTGGAGACCCCAATTCCTTTACACCTCCTCTTTTTGTTTAGTGGACAATATACTTTATTCGGAAATGTTCCCTCCTGTAATTACAAATCCTGTTAGTCATCCTCTTCCTCTCCGCAGGGGGATCGTGGGCTTTCATTAATTAATGTGGTTAAACCGCTTTGAGGTGCCTGGTTGAAAGGTGCTATATAAGTAAGTGCAAATTATTATTATTATGGCTGTTGCCATCCCATGGCGGCAAAGCCTACAGCCCCAAGCATCTAGAGACCCGAACAAAGGCCTCTTCATCTTCACCTTCCCTGTTAGGTCTGAGATGGCTGGCTCAATGGTAAGGAGGGGGGGTGCAAATCTGTTACCATCTCAACAGCAATCAACTAATTAATCCCCATTATGTTGGCTTCCGTTTCCTTCTTCCAAGCAGCCCGGTCCTGTTTCATTTCACAAATCACGCCCCCATCAGCTCTAGACAAAGGTCATAGTGTCCCTATGGCCTCTGTTGGTCTAAAGGAAAAAAAAAAAGAAAAGAGAGGGAGAGAAAGAATGTTTGAAAAACCGTTGCTGTCATGAAATGCACTAACTTCTCACTAGCAGTCGAAATAAACCTCTCCTTCCCACGGCAGCCCTCTTACACACATACCTGTCTATTACCCAGGGAGCCAATGGCTTTGCAAACCTGAGACACCCAGAAACTCAGCACAGGTGTGGGTTAAGGCCCCACAGCCCTGGCTTGACTGCTGATAGCTACAGACAAAAGGGGAGCCTTTCTGGGCTGGGTGGGAAGAGGTCATCCAGAGAAGCGGGAGCCCCTCTTCAGCTTCCTCTACTACCCCCCAAGGTTTCCCCTGAGAAAGCCAGCTGCCATCTGTAGCCAGGAAGCCCTCACAAAGACCAGGGGTGGGGGGCATGATTTAGATGTTTTGTGCTACACCTAGCACACCCCAGCCCTTAACAAATGCTCGGGGCTTCCACTACGATGGGAGCCATTGAAAGCAGCCCTGTGGGGGAGACTTGGCCTCTCGAGGGGATGCTGCTGACCAAAATGCTCCTTACAAGGTTGTGCCTCAGACCCTTTGTTAGCGTGGACGTGGGTGAGCCTCAGGGGGTCATGTCTTCATCTGCCTCCATTTATCCTCCCTATTGAAGGGCTCCTTCAGGACATTGGTCAGTCTCTGTGGGAAGTGATTTGGAGAGCAACAAAAGAACTTGGGCCCTTTGGGGGGGCCTTCAGAATTCAGTAAACATCTGGACACGGAAGGCCAGGTTCTCAAGCAGTCTAGCTGGGGAGATGTCAAAAGAGAGGAAAAGCTGTGTGTGCAATGCAAGCTTTGAGTCCTGTGGCAACATTTGTTGTCGAAAAACACAGACGTCCCAGTAGGTAGATAGGAAGATTTTTCAAAGGCTCCTCTATCGGTCAGTTTTTGTGAGTGCAGTGCACTATTTGTCAGCTCTCATGGCATGTGTGAGGAAACTGAAGTTTCACATGGCTACGGAGCAGCATGCGATGGATCTTCTGATTCTGTACGGACTGTGAATAACCCAAGGTTGCGTAAGCCTGTCCTGGGAATTGTCGTTAAGCATTTCTGTTATCCTTGAGATTTGTAAACCACTTTCTAGTCCAGGTGATTTGTTGGCTTCTCATCATCATGAGCACATTTTCATTGACAAAAAAAATGAAGTAGCGAGGCTAAGTGATTTACACTTCGTCACCCGGTAAACGTCAGGATCTGAACTCTTGACTCTCAATGTTCCCTTTATTGTTGAATCAATCCATTTAGAACACATTAGTCAGCACGTTTCAACATCAGTCACATGGCGCTAATCAGCATTCCACAGCGGGCCTGAATCTATCCTCAAACAGCAAAAGAAGCTGGCGTCTGTCAAGGGACAATGGAATGCCATTTTCGTCAGTATTCAGGACATCCAGTTCAAGTACCATGTCCTCTCAGGAACCTTCCTCAGTCATCCTAGATGGAATGAGTCTATTTCCTCTATCCTTTCAAATCCCATTGTTTGAACCTTGATAATAGGTGTGGCAGTTTGCTTTTGATTGCATGTTTTGTTTTTGAGCTAACTAGATTGTGAGCTATTAAAAACAAGGGACCTTTTTTTTTTTTTTTCAGCCTATCTCGTCAGAGCACCATGGTTTACAAAGGATAGATGCTTGAGAAATACCTGCTTAACTGAACTCACTGAAATGGAGCTTAAGTCCTATTCCAGAAAGAACTCCAAGTCTTTTTGGAAGAGGTCTTCAAAGAAAATCAACAACCTGAATTGATTTAACTTCTTTTGATATTATTACCTGGGCATTTTCACAAATGCAAATTGTTAACTGTTAATTGTTAAAGATAGCCAAATGGCTTCCCGGTTCTAAAAGAGGAGCGTGGATCTAGTCTAACTACAGTCCAGGTCTTGGAATAAAGTTTCTCTCTGTAACCTTATTCCAACTGACATTTTGTTCCATGTCTTTTGTTTGTTTGTTTTTTTGCTTTTTTTTCGTTTTTTTAAGTGGAGACAGGAGAAAACGTTTTGGAAAAAAAATGTGTTTAGTCTCTGACTCTGGAACCAAATTTATACCCTGCCTTGTGCTATAAGCACTAGTAGCTCTTGTTCAAGTATTTTTCTTGAATAGTGCACAATAGCAGAACATGTACTAAGTTTCTGATTGACAGAGATTCTGTCTTGGGAGGGGGAACAAGATTTCTGGGTGCTGACCTTTGGTGGCATTACTGACTGTGATACTCCTCTGCTCTAGACTCTGCCAAAGAAGGTCCTGATAGCATTTTAAATATATAATATTTTTTCTTTTTTTTAAGAACAGAAAAGAGTTTTATTTGAGCCAAACTGAGTACTAGGCTGGAACCCCGCTTTCCAGATAACTCTGAGAAACTGCAATATTTATGTTGCATTTCAACATTATGCAACAAGTCCCGCCCTAGGGTCTGTACTGTTGTACCCTGGGGCCTAATCTCTGCAACTGGGCTCTTCTGAAAGAAATGTGTCACTAAATATTCATCTCCTCTTCTCTCTCATGATAATAGAACTCCCCAAATTTAGGTGGGCACATGGCCACCGAGATTAACAACTACATTTTCCAGTCTTTCTTTCCATATATCGGTAGATTGGCAGAAATAATGTGTGTAACTTCTGGTTAATATCCTTAAAGGAAGGGGGTTGACCTTTCCTCCCACCAAATCTCTACCCCACACAACTCCTGCTACCTGGATGCAGGACATGATACTGAGCTATTTTGGACCATGACAACAAGGGCAACATCCTAGGTATGATGGAGCAACAGGCTAAGAGCCGGGGCCCCTGGACCAACATGTGGGGCCGAGCTGCTATACCAGCTCTGGACTGCATTCCTCCACAGTGCTATGTGAGAAAGCAGTCAACCTCTACCTGTACACCACTGTTAATCTAGGTTGTGGTTCCACCCAGCCAAATTTATAACCCAACTATACTTAGGAAATTTCTTGAGGGATCACTGTATCAATGTGACTGTTCCATCTTAGCTTAGAATTTCGAGATTCAAGATTCAGGATGGGCCTAGAGTATCCCAACAGAGGTTCATGAAGCCTGAGAGATAAGTTGTCACAGGGGCTGCCATGATGGAAGACAAGGGGGCCCAAATTCATTTCTGATTTTATAAAAATCTTAGGAGCCTCGGCTGAGTACTTGGGAACAGCTACAAACCCAATTTTGAGGCACTTCACCTTTCTGGAACTCAGTTCCCTCATCTGAAAATGAAGGTGATGAATGGAACGAAAAGATCCCTTTCTGGGAGGTGTATATAGTTAACTTTAGGAGGAGTAGAATAATTTCTGTCAGTTAATCATGTAAGTATATGCATAAATCACATGCACTGTGCAGAAGACCCCTCTAGAAGCTACGGAAACTTACACCTCAATGGCGGGGATAAAAGAGGCAGCCATAAAGAAACACAAGAAGATTGCCCATGGAAACATGACGGTGAATTTATAATTATAGGAATTGATCCACTATCTCCAGAAGAAGTATAAATTGGCAAACCTCTTTGGAGAACAATTTGAAAATATATAGTAAAGATAAAAATGTGCATCCCCTGACTAGCCATTCTACTTTTTGATATATACCTAGAGAAATCCTCACACCTGCATACCAAGAAACATGGGCAACAAGATTCATTAAGTTAACAAGTAATCAAAATTTTTGTCAGTGGGGGAATGGATAACATGTGGTACATTCATACAGTGGATATGGATACCTCAGTTAAAATGAAAGAACATGATCTATGTGTATCAACACAGATATGTTGCAAAAACATAATGCTAAGTGAAAAAAGCAAGCTGTGGAATGATGTGTATAATAAACCGTTTATGAAAATTTAGGATGCACTCAAAACAAATCTGATGTTTGGATTCACATATATGTAGAAAAGTTTTTCAGAATGGGGAGAAGGATATACATCAAACCCTGGAGAGCTTTTACTTCTGTGGAGGAGCGCAGGGGAGAGAAGGAATGGACTTGGGATAGGAACAAAGGAGTTTTGAATTTTGTAAGGTTTTATCCCTGCAATTAAAAAAAAAAATCTGAAATTAGGAGTTTGGGATTAACATATACACACTGCTATATATAAAATAGATCAACAACAAGGACCTACTGTATAGTATAGGGAACTATACTCAATATCTTGGAAATGGAAAAGAATCTGAAAAAGAATATATATGAATAACTGAATCACTTTGCTGTACACCTGAAACTAACGCTGTAAATCAACTATACTTTGATTAAAAAAAATCTGAAAAGAAAAAGACAAAATATTAACATTTGTTAATTCTGGATGTTAGAGTCATGGGTTTGCTTTATTATTTTCTGTAATGTTCAGTATTTAAAATATGTTTTCCACATTGAAAACAAAATCTCTCTTTGAGGCTAACAGTGAGAGGAAAAGAAAGGACCAAAGAAAGGGTCAGTGCAGGACGATGTCATGGAGGGAGGGGATGTGAAGTGAATGTTGAAAGAGAAGGAGAGATTCTGCAGATGGGAGCCCTGCCTCTCTGCCCTGGGAAGCACCTCGTGGAGGGGCAGGCAGAAGCAGCTCAGGACAATACGACAGGCCTGCTCTGCCCTCTCCTCTGTGACCTGTGCGAGCGAGTTCACTCTGCTCCACTGAATCCCAGGGCTCTCTGCCAGGCTCCCCAATCCATGCCAGGCTGTGCCAGGTGTGTGGGTGATATTTACCAAGCAGACACCTCCATACCTGGATGGAAACAGACTGAGATTCTTCTGGGTCACTTTGAGTCCACTGGGCAGAAACATTTAGATGGGTTACTGATTCTAACTGAAATCTGATGAAATCAGATCGTGGTATTTGGGGAAAAAGAATTTTTCAATGAATCATCCAGTTGGCTCAGTGACTAAGAAAATGGGGTGGAAGAATGTAACTCAACTTTGTGACAAAGGAACAAACAGAGGAGATTAATGCCTTTCCAACATGCTTCGAAAGCTGGTCAAATAACCAC